GCCAGGGCAGCTAGGCAAGAAAATAATGAAAAGTATCCAGATTAGAAAAGAAGTAAAACTGTCCCGGGGAAATTTAAATCGCGCCGGCCGGCTGCACGAGCCACACCGTCTTTGGGGTGATCCGTGGTGGACGTTTTGAGGGCAGCTGTCCCGCAGCCTGCGCACCCCGGACCGCCTCCTGTGGAAGCCTGAGCCGGCCGTGTAGCTTTCTCCCTTTGTCTCATAACCATGTCCACCAACGAGAATGCTAATTCACCAGCTGCCCGCCTTAACAGATTCAAGAACAAGGGGAAAGACAGTACAGAAATGAGGCGGCGCCGAATAGAAGTTAATGTGGAGATGAGGAAAGCTAAGAAGGATGACCAGATGCTGAAAAGGAGAAACGTAAGCTCATTTCCTGATGAGGCTACCTCTCCACTGCAGGAAAACCACAACAACCAGGGCACTGTAAATTGGTCTGTTGATGACATTGTCAAAGGCATAAATAGCAACAATTTGGAAAGCCAGCTCCAGGCTACTCAAGCTGCTAGGAAACTGCTTTCTAGGGAAAAACAGCCCCCCATAGACAACATAATCCGGGCTGGTTTGATTCCAAAGTTTGTGTCCTTCTTGGGCAGAACTGGATTGTAGTCCCATTCAGTTTGAATCTGCCTGGGCTCTCACTAACATTGCTTCTGGGACGTCAGAACAGACCAAGGCTGTGGTAGATGGAGGTGCTATCCCAGCATTCATTTCTCTGTTGGCATCTTCCCATGCCCACATCAGTGAACAAGCTGTATGGGCTCTAGGAAACATTACAGGTGATGGGTCAGTTTTATGAGACTTGGTTATCAAGGACAATGCAGGTGACCCACTATTGGCTCTCCTTGCAGTTCCTGATATGTCATCTTTAGCATGTGGTTACTTACGTAACCTTACCTGGACACTTTCAAAGCTTTGTCCCAACAAGAATCCTGCACCCCCATTAGATGCTGTTGAGCAGATTCTTCCTACCTTAGTTTGTCTCCTGCATCATGATGATCCAGAAGTACCGGCAGATACCTGCTGGGCCATTTCCTACCTTACTGATGGTCCAAATGAATGGATTGAAATGGTGTGAAAACAGGAGTTGTGCCCCAGCTTGTGAAGCTTCTAGGAGCTACTGAATTGCCCATTGTGACTCCTGCGCTAAGAGCCATAGGAAATATTGTCACTGAGACAGATGAACAGACTCAGGTTGTAATAGATGCAGGAGCACCTGCTGTTTTTCCCAGCTTCCTAACGAACCCCAAAACTCATATTCAGAAGGAAGCTACGTGGACAATGTCAAACATCACAGCTGGTCGCCAGGACCAGATACAGCAAGTTGTGAATCATGGATTAGTCCCATTCCTCATTGGTGTTCTCTCTAAGGCAGACTTTAAGACACAAAAGGAAGCTGTCTGGGCTGTGACCAACTATACAAGTGGTGGGACAGCTGACCAGATTGTATACCTCGTTCATTGTGGCATAATAGAACCATTGATGAACCTCTTAAAAGCAAAAGACACCAAAATTATTCTGGTTATTCTGGATGCCATTTCAAACATCTTTCAGGCTGCTGAGAAACTAGGTGAAACTGAGAAACTTAGTATAATGATTGAAGAACGTGGAGGTTTGGACAAAATTGAAGCTCTACAAAACCATGAAAATGAGTCTGTGTACAAAGCTTCATTAAACTTGATTGAGAAGTATTTCTCTGTAGAGGAAGAGGAAGATCAGAATGTCGTGCCAGAAACTACCTCTGAAGGCTATACGTTCCAAGTTCAGGGTGGCACTCCCGAGACCTTTAACTTTTAGATTGTACAGCTGAGGCAGAAAGTTGTTTGTTGTGTACTCTGTTTGGTAGAAGTTTGTCTTACTATTTCTCTACTAAGAACCCTTTTTAAATGTGTTTTGTTATTGTAGCACTTTTTACAACGAAACTACTTGACCAGTTCCAAACTGTACAACCTCTATGAAGCTCCTCCTCTCAATGGGTTTCTTATTTCTATGTGGAATCTCCTCTCTTGCAGTGTCCTGTAAATAAAGATTAAATTCCACTCTTTTCTTTAAAAAAAAGTAAAACTGTCCCTATTTGCACATGACATGATCTTGTACATAGAGAATCCTAGGGAGCCTGGGTGGCTCAGTTGGTTGAGCAGCTGTCTTCAGCTCAGGTCATGATCCTGGGGTCCTGGGATGGAGTCCAGCATTGGGCTCCCTGCTTGGTGGGGAGCCTGCTTCTCTCTCTCCCTCTGCCCCTCACCCTGCATGTGCACTCGCTCTCTTTCTCTCTCTCTGACAAATAAATAAATGGATTCTTAAAAAAAAAAAAAAGAATAAAATACTTAGGAATAAATTTAATCTCCTCCCCTAAAAAAAGTGCAAGATGTGAACCCTGGAAAATATAAAAGTTATAGAAATAAAGAAGACCTAAGTAAAGGGAAAGACATCCTATGCCCATAGAAGACTTAACATTAAGATGGCAATACAGTGCTCTCTAAATTGATGTATAGAGTCAGCACAATCCCTATCAAAATCCCAGCTGCCCTTTTTGCAGAAACTGACAAGCTAATCCTAAAGTTCATATGGAAACGCAAGAGACCCAGAATAGCCAAACCAATCATGAAAAGAAATAAAGTTGGGGGACTCGTACTTCCTAATTTCAAGACTTACTACAAAGCTACAATGATCAAGACAGTGTGGTACTGACATAAGGTTAGACATACAAATCAATGGAATAGAATTGACAATCCAGAAATAAATCCTTATATTTGAAGTCCACTGATTTCCAACAAAAGTGCCAAGACAACTTGACAGGGAAAGAATAATCTTCCCAACAAATGGTGCCAGAACAGTGGATATCCACATGGAAAAGAATGAAGTTGGACACCTAACACCAACATACACAAAAGTTAACCCAAAGTGATCATAGACCTAAATGTAAAAGTTAATGGGGGCACCTGGCTGGCTCAGCCCGTGGAGCATGCAACGCTTGATCTCCAGGTCATGAGTTCAAGTGCCACGCTGAGCCTAGAGCTTACTTAAAAAAAAAAAAAAAAAAAGGAGTTAAAACTATAAAACTCTTAGAAGAAAGCAGAAGTAAATATTCACAACCTTGAGTTAGGCAATGCTTTCTTAGATATGACACCAAACGCACAAGCAACAAAAGGAAAAATAAACAGGAACTAATGAAAATTTAAAACTTTTGTGCTGCAAATGATACCAATAAAAAGTGAAAAGTCAATCAACAGAATGGAAAAAATATTTTAAAAACATGTATCTGATGAAAACTCTTAAAACTCAATAATAAAGATAACTAATCCAATTTTTTAAATGGGCAAAGGATATGAACAGACATTTCTCCAAATGGAGAATAAGTATATGAAAAGATGCTCTATAGACCATTATGAAAATACAAGTCAATTATGGAAATACAAGTCAAAATGACAGTTATCACTCCACATCAACCACGAGGCCGTAATAAAAAATACGCAAATAACAAGTAGGCAAAGATGTGGAGAAATCAAACCCCTCACACTTTGCTGTTGGGAATGTTAAAAGGTGCAGCCTAGGGGCACCTGGGGGGCTCAGTAGGTGAAGCGTCTGCTTCTCCCTCTCCTTCTGCCCCTCCCCCTCCACTTGTGCTCTCCCTGGCTCACTCTCTCAAATACATAAAATCTAAAAAAAAAAAAAAAAAAAGTGCAGCCACTTTTAAAAACAGTTTGGCAATTCCACAAAATGTTAAACACAGTTATCATAAGACCCAGGCATTCCACACATATATACCCAGAAAAATGAAAACTTAAATCCATACAAAAACTTACACAGATGTTCGCAGCAGCATTATGCATAATGGTCAGAAAGTGGAAACAGCCAAATGTCAATTAGCTGATGGATAAATAAAATGCATATATCCATATAATGGAATATTAACCAGCAATAAAAAGGACTAAATCCTGATGCCCACTACACTATGAGCTTTAAGATGCTGCTGAAAGAAAGAAGTCGGTCACAGAAGACTCCATCATGTATGCTTCCACTTAGATGAAATGTCTAGTTAGTGGTTACCAGAGGATGAAGGGAAGAAGGGAACTGGGAATTTTTCCAGGATGATGAAAACTTTCTGAAATTAGATTGTAGTGGTGGTTCTGCAACTCTTAAGAAAACCACCTTCACTTAAAGGAGTGAATCTTACAGTATGTACATGATCCTCAAATAAGCTTGTTAACAAAAAAGATGCATCTGGAGGTGGATACGGGTGATGGTTGAATAATAACTTCTATATTATATGTATTTTATACAATAACTTATGCCTTAGCTTGGAGACCCCTTCTGTTGACGAACTGGTTTGACAAGTAAATCAACTGTATACATGTCTGGAAAGCATGATTGCCATGATTAATTTCAGGGGACTTGGTGTGGAGTAAACAGGACAAGTCCTTCTTCATTGATGTCATCCTCTCTGCCCAGCGGTCTTCTGTCCCCAGGTCACAGGGGTCCTCTGTCTCCAGTCCCCCCAATCCCAGGGGTCCTGTGTCCAGTCCCCCTTCCCCCCCAATCCCAGGAATCCTGTGTCCAGTCCCCCCTCTCCCCCAGTCCCAGGGACCCTCTCTGTCCAGTCTCCCCCAGTCCCAGGGACCCTCTCTGTCCAGTCTCCCCCAGTCCCAGGGACCCTCTCTGTCCAGTCTCCCCCAGTCCCAGGGGTCCTCTCTGTCCAGTGTCCCCCTCCGACCCAGCCACAGGGGTCCTCTCTGTCCAGTCCCCCCTCCCCCCCAGTCACAGGGGTCCTCTCCGTCCGGATCCGAACCCCGCCTCGTTGGTCCGCTCAGCCAGCTGCCCCCTCCGCACCCCCGGGTCGCCGTGGCGCCGCGGTGAAGCTGGGTCTCTCCGACGGCCCTGACCGGGACGGACAACAAGTCCGGTAAGGCCGGGCCCCTGGTGACCGCGGCGGCACCTCGGAACACCTACCCCCCCGGGTCCGCGCGGAGACCACCTACCCGCACGCGCACCGCCCCCGCGCTGCCTGGAGCCCAGCCCCTCTGGCGTCACGCCCCTCCCAGCGCCGAGCGCGCTTCCCACGTCGGCGGACACGCGCACGCTTTCGTCGGCGCGCACGCAGCGTCCGGCACGCGTACACGCCTGGAAGGACCGCAGCGCGGGACGCTGTAGTCCGCAGAGGTGCGAGCGAAGGCCGGTGGGGGGCGGGGGGGCAAGGGGGCTGGGGAGGGAGGGAGGGGCGGGAGCCGAAGGAGGCGGGAGGCGATCACCAGGGGTCTCCGCGCCGGGGCTGGGGTCTGCGGGCCTGCTCTCAGTCCCGTCCCCCTTCCTGGGGTAGCGCCCGGGGGTCGGGCTGGGGGGGGTGGCGAGATCCCCGTGGCCCCGGCCCCGCCCCTCCGTGGGACCGAGGGGCGCGGGCGGGGCCTGCGGGCGTGCTCTCAGTCCCGTCCCCCTTCCTGGGGTAGCGCCCGGGGGTCGGGCTGGGGGGGGTGGCGAGATCCCCGTGGCCCCGGCCCCGCCCCTCCGTGGGACCGAGGGGCGCGGGCGGGGCCTGCGGGCGTGCTCTCAGTCCCGTCCCCCTTCCTGGGGTAGCGCCCGGGGGTCGGGCTGGGGGGGGTGGCGAGATCCCCGTGGCCCCGGCCCCGCCCCTCCGTGCGGAGGGGCGCGGGCGGGGTGACGCTCGGCCGCCCTTGCCCAGCAGTCCGCGGGAAGGAGCGGGTGCCCGCAGTTCTCCTCGCAGCCCCCCGGACCCGCCTCCGAGATGTCGTATATGCTCCCGCACTTGCACAACGGCTGGCAGGTGGATCAGGCCATCCTTTCGGAGGAGGACCGCGTGGTGGTCATTCGCTTTGGGCACGACTGGGACCCCACCTGCATGAAGATGGACGAGGTGCTCTACAGTATAGCCGAGAAGGTAACGCAGCCCGGCCGCTGCGCGTGGCATTCCGGGGTCAGCCTCGGTGGCGGTCTGTTCCCTCCGCCTGGCCTGTGGGCAGTTGCAGACTGAGGTCCCACGTGCGTCCCCGCTCCTCGTTCAGCCTTCCTTTCTAACGCGCAGCCCGTTCAGCACAGACCTGTACGCATTAGCTTCTGCCCTCTTCTGGGCGAGGTTCCGTCGACTTTCCGGTTTTAAAGAGGTTCATGACTCCTCTGCAGTGCCCTGAGCAGAACGCACGTAGAGACTTTGGCAAGAACGATGGAGTTTGCTTAAACTGCTTAGTTTAAGAGGATTGTCCACTTTGGCTACATTGTTTCTTGTGTTCGTGAAGCAGAACATTCCTGGGAAGCGGACGGTAAACCCTGTTACTTTTCTTCTGGTCTTTTCCCCTGCATACTCTTTGTAAGTCGCTTGATTTGTAGCTTCCAGTGATTCAGTTGCAGGAGATGTTAGGAGAAAAGAGAATCGTGCTCCCGATTTTTAATGTTAGTACTGTAGCTTGTCCTGCTGCTTGTTTGCTGATAAGGGAAGTGCCGTCCTTGGCACTGTTATGTAACCAGGGCTTAGTGCTTTTCTGTAGTTTCTTCATGGTGATTTGAAGATAACTTTAATTTGGAGTTTTGCAGTTGTAGCAATAGGACAAAGAGCAAATACATAATGGTGTTAATAAAATATCTAACATTGACATTCCATAGATAATTTGAGAGGTCACTTTAATGAAGAGTAAAAGTAATGGAAACATTGAAGCCATGTTTTCTTTCAGAGGAATAAGGGGTTAAAATAACTTGGTAGATAGTAGCAGATGTAAGGATATATCTTGTATTTAGGAAAGGAAAATTTGACCTTCTGGGACATCTGGGGGGCTCAGTCAGTAGAGCGTGATGAGTTCGAGCCCCACATTGGGGTTAGTTTACTTAAAAAACAAACAACTAACCTTTCATTGCTAGTTTTTACTCTGTCCTATTTGGTAGAAGAGGCAAAGTGCGGCATGGGTGGTGGCATTGGGAACACTAGAGACCGTTCTTCTGTGTCAGTCATCATGAGTATCACTTGGAATACTTGTGAAGTGCATTTCAGAGGTTCTGATTCTATTGGTCTGGGGTGAGGTCCAGAAACAACCCTTTTAAGAAGCTGCCCTGGGAATTCTGATATGACTTTGAAAAACCCCTCGACAGAGGTCGGGATCAGAGTAGGCATGCTGTGGTTACCAGCCATTCCCTTCCTCTTCCTCAAGGAGCTTGAGGAGGTGCCTGGGGAACTCAGGAGAGCAGCAGTTTCCTGACACTGGGAATCCTCCCACTTGGGGTCAGAAGTCGTAAATGAAGTGGTGCCAGGAAATCATTTACGCCCTGCTTAGGTTATAGTGGTCAAGGGCAGATACTGCCGAGGTCAGTGAGGAACTGCCCACAAGCACTTTTCTGAGAAGCACACTGCTGCTCTGTTCACTTTGAAATAACTTAGGGTGTGTGTTCTGAATTCTACATTGCAGGTGGTGGTATAAACATCAGGTGATGACCAGCTCCCCCTGCCCTCAGCGCAAGGTCAGGATGCTTAGAGATGAGATGGTCATTTGGCTCCTCACATCTGAGCAAAACCAGCAAAATGCTCTTAGCTAGGAGACAGATTTTGTGTGTTAACATAAGCTTTTAGGGACTTTTATAGGAGTCTTTTCTCATCCCTTTATGTCGTTATAGACTGAATCTCTGTATCATTGGTGGACGCACTCTTTTTTGGTATTGACTCTATTGATAAGAACAGCTTAACTGGGCTCACTTTGAGTATTTTTCTTTTTTTTTTTAAGGTACTTTTCCTTTTGTCCAAAAATTTTGATAAACTTTTAATAAAATATTATTACAGTACAGTTATTAAAAATGCAAACTTGAAACGCATCACAAGTTTATTGCTTTATTTTCTTCTTAGTATAAAGGCAAAATAAGAGTTTATAATTCTGGAAGCCCTTTTTGGGGAAGCTCAAGAGGAATTTTTGAAATTTAAGGTTTTAGTATAAAGAACAACTTAACTCTATTTAAAAATCTCCCTCTGCAGAAATGGCAGATGGTGGGGGATCTTCCTCATCTTGTTACGAGCCCTGTTTGGATACCCCAGCTGTTTTAAAGTGAGTAAAAGTTCCACTGTTTAGGCTGGTCTTGATTCGATTGTTTCTCCTGGAATGTGGTGTGTTGACTTAATGCTTTGGCAGTGCCAGCCTCCAGACCCCCACCTCATGCTGGGTTAGTTTTGAGCTGCACTGAAAACGTAAGAGATCTACGAGACAATTTTATAGATGTCTGGAATTTGGTAGAGTGATAATAACAAAGTTTCCTGTTCAGCAGCTGATTTTATGCACAGCTTCAAAGAGAGACTGTTTTGTGTACCTCTGAGCTGTCTTGCCATTTTGTAGGAACAGTTTGTCACAGCTCATCCCATGATGGGAAGGAATAAATGGGACATTTAATTTTTGTGTGTTAAAAAAAACCCATACAGATAGAGTTTAAAATATGCAAAACCTCAATGATATCGTTGACTCGTGATCATACATTCTAATAAAGTTGTATATAAGACAACTATATGTATGGAACTTTTGGAAATGATTTTAAGGGATCATTCTTAAGCGTTGCATAAAGTAAATCGAACCTTATTGGAAGTTGACGTATAGTCAAATGAGGTATTTCATAAGGGCCAAGAAAATGCGTATGTTTGCTATGGATTTGTGTTTCTGGGTATGACAGCCTTGGAGCTAGCAGCAAGCTATGAGGGACAGGATGGAGTGCTGGCTAAGAGTAGGGACCAAGCTAGCTCCTGCTCCTTACTCCCATATGATCTTAAGTAACTTGTCTCTGTGCCTCATTTTACTCATCTGTAAGAAAAGGACAATAGTGCCTAACCCATACGGTAGTCATGAGGAGAGAATTAATAGAACAGACTTCTGGAACACTTCTGTCACATAGCAAGTAACATATTCCGTAATCATTAGCCACTGTTATCAGCATCATCATTCACATCACAAAATTTGCAGGAGTTATTGTGATAGAGCTAATCGGGCAAATAGTTTGGGAAAATAAAGTTACCATGCAGTTTTTTGATGGCTTTGACATGAATCACCTAAAAAATGGCTCTTCGGAAATAAAATACATAGTGGCAATTGACAGTCCAGAACATGTTTTTCCAGCATTTTATGTGGGTTCTTGGCTGGAGGAGGAGCTCTATTTAGAAGGTTGGAATGGTGGTTGGTATACTGTGCTGGCCTTCAGTCTTAGTGATTCGCATGAGTTACTTTCACTTGGAGACAGGTCATGTAGAAGGACTGCTGAACAGCTTAATCAGTGACCTGCTGAAGAAAAAGGAGTGTGCTTATAAAATGTGTAGGCAACAGGGCTGGAAAGGATGTTTACTATTATAAATGATCAGCAACTTGATAATAGAAACAAAATTTGTACATAGAGTTCCTGGTTTTTAAAAAATACTAGTAACAACCAATTAAAATTACTGCAAACATAGTAGGTAAAATATTATTTTAGATATAGAAGACATATGCAAATAAGTTTAAAGCACCATTTCAAAAGATGACTCCCATGGGTAGAGAGGCAAAGAACTTAAAAAAGAGGAAATTCTAATGGTTAAGTAAACTTCAGAGCCATACACATTAAAATAGTGTACTATTGTTTCTTAGATATATCAGAGATAAAAAAGGTACTTATTGTGGTGTGGAGAAAGTTAATCCTGATATCTTTTTGGAAAGCAGTTTGGCATTGTATGAAAAGCCTTAAGGACTCAGTCACCCTCCCTCTTCAGTAGGCAAACTTGTATGCTCTACAAGACTTCTGCTATAATTTCTAGCAAACTGGAAGCACCGACAATCAGTGTCTGATGGTAGGAGAGCATGGTGATGACTGTAATCTCTAGTTTTTGAGCATTTAGACCAGTTACCTTGCCAGGTAGGACACAGACCCCTGACCGTGGTCCCCATGACGACTCCTGAGGTAGGGATGCCAAGTAATTTGTCCAGACTCGGAGATGGACAGTTGGGATTTGAACTGGGAATGTCCTCGGCACTGGATGGAATATTATTTGGCCATTAAAAATTATTTTCTAAGCTTTTTAAATACCATGGGCATTTGTTAATGATGTCGCTGGAG